GAAGACCCTTAGAGTAGGAATTAGATGACAGCTGGTTTATCCAGCTACCAACATATATGTCAGTGTTCCTTTTAGACTAGAAGGTCATTGCTTGTCTGGAATTCTTTTTTTCAGACTGTCCAAAGAAACTGTGGAAAGTGGTCCTGATCCACTTGGTTACAGTCTTACCGGAAATCACTGACATTACTGTCCAATAAGGTGTAAGGGCAGAAGACCAAGAGCCCCTTGAGGATGTCTATGGTAGGGACCTGTGGGTGATTTGATGTTGGATTCTCCTCTGCCAGTTACTTGAGAACAGGAGGGGGCCAATCATGAGAGCAAGCAGAAGTCTCATCTTTATAATTGGGTTAATTAGAGAGACAGGTTCCTTTACCTCTGAATGAAGCAACTGGGAAATTTTTGCTTTTCCCAGAAACTCCCCAGATGGAGGATGCTAGAAAACTTCAGGGAATTCAATTCTCTGATCTCAGCGTTCCTTTCCATACACCTTAAATGTTTTAGGCTTCTTAGCCCAACAAACATTTCCAGCTCTTCTTCATGGGGGTTTTAGGGTAGACTGACCCTGTTTCCTTATAATTCTCCTAGTGAAAAAGTCATTAAGTGCTGGAGTTGGCACATGGAGGTGGGGGATGGGGGAGGTCAGCACTTATCAGTGCCTTTTATGGATGAATCAGATTCTGAGTCCATCCTTGGGCCTCTTCAAGGATGAGCAGACCCTCAGGTGAGGTATTTTATGCACATTGGCACTTTCTGTTGGTGTTAATCTTGCTTCACATACTTCCCTTCATGGGCAGACCTTCTTAGACTTACTGTCCTCTGATGGGCAGAACTTTGGTATCATATTGTTGAAACCCGTCTGATTAAATGTCAGGACAAGAAAGTTACCTTGGCTTAGAATGGATTTTAAAGTCCTTCTCCTCACAGCTACTGGTAACATGGTCAGCACAGAATAATTTGCAAAGCTAGTTTTCTAAGTCAAAATCTGAATAACAAAATTTTCAGGAATATTCTTTTCAGAAACTCAAGGGACCTGCCTAAGACATCCTTACATCACCTTCTTTGGGAGAAATAAAAGTATTAGCTCTAGTTGAGCCTGAATGGAGATTAGCCCTTGCAGAAGCCCAAAATTTGCTGAGGAACAATCTTGAACCAAGATTTCCAAATTTTAGACCAGTAAACACTAGCATACTCTATTTCTTTGATAACTTTTTCTTTGGACATTATAAGTTAAATAAAATCCTGTTTTCTTAGGGTGAGTTGGTGCAAGTGAATCAATTTTCTGACTACAAAAGATCTGGAAAATCAGATTAAGAATCAAGGTAACAAACCATATTCGAGGTAAGATTATTTCACCAATCCTCCTGGAACATGCTGAGAATTATTTTTTAAAAAAATATCTTATTTTTGAGACTACATACCCTTCCTCTGTGAACTTTCATGTCTGTACTGTTTATAGGACACCCTCAGAGTCATTTTGGCTTTGAAATAGCTGGAGTAGCAGATGGAACAATGAGACATCACAATAAAACATGCATTAACATCTACTCTGTGTTCCCAGATCTGTGCCGAGTGCTTTGAAGAATATAAGAGATACTTCAACAGCCTTCAAGAGCTTACATTTTCACTGGAGAGACCTGACTGATACATGTAAAACATATAGACAATAGTTAACACTTGGTGACAAGGTGCTAGAGGTAAGCACCCTAGTTCTGAAGGAAAATCTTGCAAAGATGTTTTTTCCTTGGCATCCCAGTTTGGTTGACTCCAGAAACATGCTCTCTTCTTCAGCATTTCTAAGCTCTGCACAGGTTGCCTGGATAGAAATTATACCTGGGGCAAGTGAGCAATGGAAGCTGGACTGCATTGTTATTTTGTTACTATTATTATTATTATTATTATCAGCATCATCATCATCATCATCATCTTATGCTTCCTCCTGGCTTTACCTTTTTATATATGTGGTTCTCTTGTCTCGTCATGGCATCCCTCCCTTCTGGGCACAGTTTTGCATGAGCACCAGGAAGAGGAGTCAATAAATGAGACGGGAAATGAAACAAGTGTTGAACAGGAGCAATGAAAACTGATTTTCTTCCCAGGTCTCTACCAATCAGCTGCTGAATTTCAGGCCCCAGATTCCTCTTCTGTAATTTAGGAGTCCATGAGCTTCTTTCCAAAATTAATGGTCTATGTTTTCTCAGTAGATGAAACTGGAAAAGAGAGGGCCCTCTGTTTCTCTATGACATGATATCTAGAGAAAAAGCAGGGGAAAGGGAATGCTGTAAAAAGCCAGTGGGACGGTTTTATCTTTCAGAACCTCATAGTACACCGTACCTATGATAGGAAAAGTCAAATGGGAAACCACAAGGTAGGGACTAGATTCATTTGAAAGTTTTGGAAAATTTCCATGGAAGTTGTTTAATGAGGTCAGCAGATCTTAAGCTTCTATGTTCATCCCTATTTTAAGTTTTCTTAAATGCCATCCTTGGAAAAACATGGAAATCTTATGAATTAATTTGCTGTCTCATAAAATCACATTGTTTTTTCCCCTGAATTTCTTGTTTTGGTCTATCAATTAAAAAGTCAGAATTAAAAGTTATTTTAGACTCCACAGGCAAAAAATCATGACTGGTCTGATGATCCCTTTATGAAACAATCTCTCAACTGTTCTAAATTTCTATCTACAGAATCAGCATTTGTTAGATTCCTTCCATTCCAAATCCATTTAATTTTTAACTTTTTAAGACAATTTGATAATTACCTTGTACATAAATCTTGCTCTGTTAGCCTTTAACAGTCTTGAATAAAAACAAACAATAAATTTTTTAAAATCTGAAGACTAAAGAGATTCTTTCACAGTCTCTCAGAGGACAAGTCTCATTGCTACCCCAGATCAGAGGCAATTATAGAAACAGAGATGATTTGTTTTGAAGCTAAAGTTCACAGAAAATATTCACTCAGAATCATTTTTCCCATGAGAATGAAACCTGTTCTTCTCATGTAAGGTTCCTGCCTTTCTGCATAAACATCTTGTGTGTGAAACACCAGCACTTCAGCTGGGTGCATAGAGGAGCATGGCAGTGGGGTATAGGGAAAGGGGACAATAATGAGAGGGCCATACTATCCCTTTTTACAGATTAGGAAATGGAGGCTGAGTAGGTTTGATTACTTGTTCAAGGTCAGATAGCTCTTTTGAATCAAGGTCTGTATTTAAAAAATGTAAATGCTTCTGCCACCTTTCATAAGTTCTGCAGAGTATCTTAAAGTAGTTATGTAAAAAGAGCATCATATCAGTCTTGCCTTATAACATGGTGTGAAATGAATTTTGTACATTGAATCCCAGAATTTCTCAATCCCAATTATTCTGCAACCTAGGAGACTAGCTGGACTCCCTAACAGGCATAAGAAAGAAACCAAAAGTATGGGGATATGACAAAGTCTCCAAGCATCAGCTACTCTCCTTGGAGGTGGGTATAGAGAGGAGGAAGGATGTGAGGTGGTAACATGTCAAAGGTGTTTCAATTGTTAATTAATTAAGTACTTAAGTTGTGGACAAATACAAATAACAAAATTGACCATTTAACCATTTATAAGTGTAAAGTTCATTGTTATTAAAGTACATTCATGGGCCGGGTGTGTAGCTCAGTGGTAGAGTCTTACCTAGTGTGCTTGAGGCCCTGAGTTTCATTACTAGCACTGAAACAAAACAAAACAAAAAGAAATTTAAACCATACAGTATTGTATACATAATATTGTTTGCACTGCATATATATATATATATATATATATATATATATATATTATTATATATTGTATGTATATATAGTATTATATATTGTATGTATATA